TTCAGGATCATAATTATGGTTTATTAACTGTAAATGGAATTTCTGTTGCTATATTTAAATTAAATAACAACTTTTGGATATTTGATTCGCATTCAAGAGGATCAAAAGGAAGACCAGCACAAAACGGTACAGCATGTTTAATTCGATTTTCGACAACGTTATCAATGTTTAATATTTTAAAAAGTGTTTTACCAAAATCTTTGAATAATATTTTTAGTTATCAATTTACTATAACTGCTGTTAATCCTTATATGCATTCTAATGAACAAAATCAAATATACAATAACAGCATCGAGAATGTTGCAGAATTAAATCCAAATAATGAAAACAATAATAATGATAATATTGTTATTACATCTTCAATTTTACGGCCAGTTGATAAAATTATACCTGACGTTCAATCTGTTATTGAAAATGAAAAAGAAGTACAAGGTGCTCCCTTATATACATTGCGGCGGAAAATTACAGAACCTGTACAGATGCATACTGAATTACGAGCTAAGAATTAGCTAGAATTAGCTTGGTACTTTCTTTCTCCAAAAGGGCGGAATGGACTTCATGAACCATCCCGACTATATCCTATAACGCCATTAGATTATTGTGAAGCACGTATTATGTGTCAGGATCCCAGATTTCAACGAAATGATTACTTATTTTATTCTTTATCCGTTATGGAATATTATCGGGCTCGGCAAAATGTTGGTGTCTGCCTTAGAATGAGACAAGGTAATGCTATTCCTGAAGGCCTTGTACAAAATTTCCATATTAATATGAGAGCTTTGCGTGTTTCTAATGCATATTGGCAAACTGCATGTAGTGGTTTAATTGCTATGGTTCGCAACTTGGGCCCCCCACAATGGTTTTTAACATTAAGTTGCAACGATCTTAATTGAATAAATATATTGCAAGCATGTCTTATCGCTGCTGGAAGAAAAAAGGAGAATATAGACAATTTACAATTTGATAGAAAACAACGATTAATTGTTGAGCATCCGGTAGCATTATCTCGTCATTGTATGGTTCGTGTTCATGCTATCATGCGTGTATTGCAAAATGATGACACTTTATTAGGTGGAATAGATTTCTGGTGGAGAATAGAATTTCAAAATAAAGGTAGTTCACATTTACATATGCTCTGCTGGAATGAAGGAATTCCATCATTTGAAAATCCACAAGATATAGCTCTTATTGACAAAATTGTATCGTGCGCATCTTCTACACGAGATAATGAATTAGATGCGCTTGTGGCACGCGTTCAAGTGCATAAACATACTACTACATGTTATAAAGATAGACAACACGGACAATGCCGATTTGATTTTCATAGAAGAATTAGTGATACAACTCTGTTGCTTGGACCAGATGAAGCTATTCGTAATAATGGACATTTCTGTATATTAAAGCGTAACTCTACAGAGCTTTATGTCAATAATTACAATCCTACACTTCTTAAATTATGGACTGGCAATATGGATTTGCAACCTTGTGGGAATGTTATGGGTATAGCCTATTATATAACTAAATATGCAGCTAAACATGAATCACATGATGTTGGTCAAGCTGTCAATGATGCAATTAGCAGAGTACAGAGATATGGTGGAGATGTAGGAAAGCAATTATTTGCTGTCTCAATGACTATACTTCGACATAGACAGATATCTGCCTGTGAATGTGCATTTCGTTTATGCCATTTTAAATTACGTGATAGTTCACGAAAAGCTGTTTTTCTAAACACATGCTTTCCACAAGAACGTTATTGTATGTTACGTTGTGATGGTTATATTAATAATTTATATGCAAACATATTTGATCGTTATTGTTTACGTCCGGAGAATTTGGACGATCTCAGTTTAGCTGAGTTTGCTGTTACATATGAATGTGTATTACGATTTGAAAATTATGAAGAAGATGGAGATATCGAGGTTTACAATGAAGTAAACGATGTAGTTCCAACTAGGCATATTCGTTTGCAAGATAGTACAAAAATGAAACGGCGTACACGTCCTGCAGTGTTAAGAACGCGATATTATACTCAAACTGGTAATCGCGAAGCATACTTTTATAGTTATTTAGTGGCTCATGTTTTTTTTCAGAAATGAAGAAGAATTACTTCAGAGATATGAATCAGCAGAACAGGCATTTAATGCAAAGCGTCATCTATTACGACCTCTACGTAGAGAGCAGAATATTGAACAATTTCAATTTGTAGAACAGGAATTACAAGAAGTTATAGCTCAAATTGTTGCATTAGATGACAATGATACAAATGCGCAATCCACGGTAAGAAACGAAGATCGTGCACACTGTATAATGAATGAGGAATATGATGATAATAATATTGATTTAAATTTACACAATGAACCTAATGAAGCAGATCGCGTTATATGTGCTGAAGAATTTGAACAAAATGTTAGAAATATGAACATAGAACAATCTTATTTATTTAATACAATTACTAATCTTATTAAACAAGATATTCAAGGTCAAATGATTAAACCTTTACGATTATTTATTACAGGAGGAGCAGGATGTGGAAAAACGTTTCTTTTAAAAATGATAGAACAACAAATTAAACGATGTTATACTCCTACTACAGATCGCTTGTTAAAACCCATATTTGTTGAAGTGACTGCTCTTACTGGTGATGCAGCCAGATTAATTAATGGGCGTACTTTACACAATGCATTCTTTTTAGCAATAGAAAAAGGAAAACCTACGATATACAGACAGTTAACACGACAACGCCTCGAAGATGCAAGACGTAAATGGCGGCATATTAAGTGATTAATTATCGATGAAATATCGATGGTTTCGTATGAAATATTAAGATCAATTCATCTTCGTCTTCAAGAATTTAGAAATAATAATGGATTATTCGGTGGTGTTAATATATTGCTATTTGGAGATATTATGCAATTATCACCAGTGAAAGGAAATTGGTGTTTTAAGCAACCTTTATGTTTTCAAGAGGAGCCACATTTATGGCGATACTTCCGTTTGTTTGAGCTAAAAACCAATATGCGTCAACAAAATGATGCAGAATTCGTTGATTTGTTGAATAATTTGCGAGTCGGCCAAATTAACATTGCACAATATCAAATGCTATTAAATAGAACATATATTCCTTTAATTAATGAATTTGCTGATGGCGAAGCTATTCGTATATTTC